GAAAACCCCCTATCTTTTGAAGTCGGTAGAGAACGTAACACCAACGTAAAATATACCCCCTTCCAGACGTTAAACACCTCATACATCTGTAGCGAGCAAATAAATCACCCAGCGAAAAACAATAGAGCCTTAGGCGCGGTTGATGGCGGGTGGAATCATAAAAACACCATTATGCATCCGTTAACAGATCCACGGCTGTACCAAGTGCTGAGCGGTGAAAGATGGTTATTTAACGGACGATAACTCCAATATTACATCTCTTTTAACAAAGATTTCTGTATGAATGTAAACGCGAGTTTCAATGCTTTTGTCGCCCGGGTCCCCACCAATATGCTGGTCACCTTTATGAAGGAGGCCGAAGGGTGTGGTGTATCGGCGCTACCGTGGCAGATTGCCGTCGTCAGTGCCGAGACCACACAGACTGAATTTCAACATTTCTATATCTTAGTTTTATAATATTCATTCATATGTATGTTAGTCTATGAGGTATTCATAATATGTGCCTACTAGCCTGAAATAAATAAATAAAATGTAAATTGGACTCTGTTTTCCGCAATCAGCCTCTCATCTGTGCCGTTGTACGTATACATAGAGCCGAGACTACTAAAGTAGTGGAGTCTTCACATGCTTCACAGAGCGACCTTATAATTCGAGGATTTGTGTTCGTTGTGTGGCCACTGCTACGCACTCCAGGATTACGTGAGCGGCCGTTTCTTCGACTTCAAAGCAATCCCGACAAAGGGTACTGTCTGTAGTACCTATTGTGTACAGATGTTTGTTTAAAGGACAGTGGCCCGTTATTGTCCATATCATTATTTTGAGGCATTTAGCCTATATAAGTTCAGTAGGCATTTTGTCAATCGTTGGTTTTTTTCTGTATGAATTTAAAATATCGGTAAATTTTGTATTAAGTCATCTACGTAGGTAACTCACGTTTAACTGTTTCTGCCACGATCTTCTTTGTAAGATATGTTTTCTTAAGATCTTCTTCTTTTTTAGCATATATTAGTCCACTGCTGGACGTATGCCACCTGTATAATTTTCCACTTTCTTCGGTCTATGGCGCATCTTGTGCAGGTAGGTCCTGCCATCTATTTGATGCCGTCTGACCATCTAGCAGCTAATCTGCCTACGCTTCTGCTTGCCATCCTAGGTCGCCACATTAGATATCTGTAGATATGGCTGAGAAATTAGTCAACAATGTCTAAATGACCGGTATTACGGTGATATCTGTAATACTGCTCATGAATATAGGCTACTTACACTTACTATCAGATGAGGCGACAGTTTGCCTTTAAAAAGTCTTTATTTCTCCCAAACCTATTGTTACATCGATAGAACTTCTTCCCTGTTTAAATAAAGCAAGCCGAGCCATCAATAACAGTGTATTGACTTGTCTGTAATGTAACATTTCTACTCGAAATGTGTTTACTTATCTTTTAAATGTGTAAGTATATGTTATAGGAAATTGATGTTCATACAAATATCACATACATCTAAGTGTTTAATATGGAAACATGCGACTGACAGTAAATATTGTGAACTTATGTGTGAACATTGTTTTTAAATATATACAAAAATATACGTAAAATTAATGACTATACTATAAAATTCTAAAGGACTTTAAAACCATTTTAGTATTTTAGTTAATAAATTACGAGTTTTATGATGTAAACTTAACTTACTATTGTAGGAAACTCTAATCAAATTAGGTATAATATAAAGTTATAAAAACTTTTTAGTATTGTATTTAATAAATATCAAATAAAGAATTCTGAGCGATCTCTAACTATTGTTTTTTAGTTAAAGTTAAATGACTATTGTTGGATACTGCAACCAAAGGCTAAATGTATAAAACCTTATTAGTATTTTATTTAATAAATATCAAATAAAGAATTCTGAGCGATCTCTAACTATTGTTTTTTAGTTAAAGTTAAATGTTAAAGTTAAATGACTATTGTTGGATACTGCAACCAAAGGCTAAATGTATAAAACCTTATTAGTATTTTATTTAATAAATTTCAAATAATAAATTCTCTACATTCGCGAGCTGTTGTCTTTTGTAGTACAATTATTGCGCGAGCAAAGTACTGAAATAGGCCAGTAACAAACAAATTTGTATTCATCGAATATATTAAATTATTGTTTTAACATAGAAGTGTTAGTGACTTTAGGTATGATGACATAAAGACAACAAGATTTCAAAAAGAACAATAATTTAACTCTTTGGTGTGAATTTTAAAGTCCTGTGCGAAATAAAACTGGCCCAATATTTTGTACATTTTATATAAGTACCTATATTTATTCTGTTTGTGCCAATTATAGGCGACAATTTGTAGATTAATTTAATTTATTCCAATGCCGAATGTATGTTTGTTTATGTTGACTCAATATTTATGTTTGAAATTCTCATTCATCGTTACAGCTCAGCGGCTGATAAAATCAACGTGAAACATGAAATTAACTCGCTTTTTCGCGATATACAGTCAATATTAATCCCCAACAAAATTCATCCAAAGTGTCGTAACTGGTCACTGTAGCAATACAAGTTTAAATTAAAAATTTAAACAACTCTAACAACACCAATTGGGAACGAAAGGGCAGACCATCTTGCCAAGGAGGCTGCGGTGGGGTCGAAGAAGAAGTTGGATTACGACTGGTGCCCCATCACACACACCAAGCGCCTGATTAGAGAGCGAACGATTGATGAGTGGGACAGTAGGTACCGGTCTGGCGATACAGCATCCGTCACAAAATTGTTTTTCCCGAACGTGGCCGATGCGTACAGAACTATCGGCAAAATCGAAAAAAACCAGTTACACTGCACAGCTTTTCATGGAACATGGCGGATTCGCGGCATACATCGTTTTCGGTGCCGGGCGGAGCCATCGTGTCCCTGTAATCAGTTAACACCACAAACTATACAGCACATAATCTTACAGTGCCCTCGCTTTGGAATGGAAAGAATGGAAACAGAAATAGAAATAGGATTAGAAATAGTAGAGAAAAATTACGACAAAATAGTAAGAAATCGGAAAAGTAGGGAAAAATTTATAGAGTACACCAGAAAAATAATAGAAAAAGTAGCAAAACCGATAGCAAGTAAGCATATTTTATGATGTATAGTGACTATACAGTCGGTTAAAATAGAACAAGTGTAAAGTAAGAATAGCAAATAGAATAAAAATAGGAATCGAGGATAAGGAAATGTAAAGAGAAAAGAGGCAAAATGTAAATTAAAATGAAATAGCAATAAGTTAGAAAGTAAGAAAGTATTACAATAGGTCCGAAAACAAAAAGATACGCTGGCGGGGCACCAGTTTGTTCCTCTTATTCTTCATAAGAGGAACATGAGGTCAGGTCAGTGAGCCCATCGTGACAAATTCATCAGCAATTTATCATGTGGTTTTCAGACAAACTGCATCGAGGTCAACCTAACTTGGTACACTGCAAGCAATGGGGTCATCAGTCCATATTACTAATAATCCCTATCCCCCACAAAATCGTTAGTTAGGTAGTGGTGTTTCTTGAAATCATCAAGAATCAAGAAATCTCTTTCACTACAACCGACATAAAAAAAAACAGTTCTGAGTTACTCTGTATATTTTATGTGAATGATTTCAATGAACACTTCCTTCTTTGGGTATATACGTAACTCAATACAACTGTATTTTTGTAAAGCTACTTGGTGTTAGGAACTTTTCCTGAATGAACAGAGGTTGACGATTCTGTTTTATTTAAAAACCGATGCTTCTTGTGTGATCGCATATGAACTTGATCAACATCTGAGCCGTAATTTTGAGTTATCCTTAATATGGCCCGCAATCCAGGAACAGGTCAAGGTGACCAAGTCCGAAATTTCTAAGGTCGTTAAGAAAGTCGTTTTATAAAGCTTAGTGAAAGCGGTTCCGAGTATATATATATATATATATATGCTGAGGAGTAGCACACTAACAAACATGTACAAAAAAAAACAGTAATGTCCTCCCGTTATGATTTTCTATGTTACATTGAGCTGACTATTATTTATCTTCAATATATACATTTAATTGTGATTTGATAGCAATTTGAGCCGGAAAAAGCCTTTGACTAATTAATATGATTGGTAATGGTAATATTTCACACACAAACTCTTTGGATCTGAAATAAAAATGTAAACACTAAAAACGCTATCTATGAGTAAGACAGTATTACTTTTTTATTATTACCGTTCCATTTTACTTTTAATTATACTATTTTTGTACCTATAGAAAATTATATGAGTTCACGCGGACAAAACCGCGACAAAACGTTGACACCAGTGTAATAATAAAGCGTTTCCTACTAAGACAACACGACCACAACCTCCCGAATGCAACTACAATGTACCGTTATACAGCTCCGCCCGCAGCCACGTATTTAAATTAAAAAACTTTGCCATCAAGAAACTAGGTTTGAGGGACAACTGAACAATTCCATGAATATCTCTTTGTTTAAACGTCAACTTTGTTGCAACGATACAACATACTGGTGACCTCGATGGTCTAGCGGTTTAGCACGCCACTTTAGTTCCAATGGTCGAGGGTTAGATTCCTCGCACGGTGCAAACATTTGTATTCATGAATATGATTGATCTGAATTTTTTCTATTATGCATGTATTTATGTACATAAGCTTTGGTATCAGTTGTCAATCAATACAACAATAAAAATAATACAAGCTCTGCTTAGCTTTAGATGGCACTGTGTTATATTTTATTTAATTGACTTTACAGAGAGTACTAAATAAAGATTTATATAACAAGTTGTAATTTTCAATTTAATTTGGAATTAAGCAGCTAGCTATCTAGATATATAATATATAGTCAAAACCCTCAAGATTTGGATAACTTATTTCGGTTTAGTAAGTGCTTATTTAAATGATAAATATCTATAAATTCTATTAGAACGGAGGATAGCAATACTGTTCTGTTCTGTCAAATTTTGCGAATGAAATTGAATGAGTGAATGATGTCACTAAATGAAGTCAAAATTGAAGACTTCCATCACATCAGTTTCCAGTCTTATTTGCAAAGTTATTGTAAATAATGTGAAACTTCTTTAAAAAATCTGAAACAGACAGTTCAAAATTCGTAAATAAGTAAATAATAAACATAGTTTCCAGAAGTTTCGTATGAAGTAATTGGCAACGCTGCACAAATAGGTTAGTATACCCATGTGTAGTACTTTCTCAATTTTCTCCTATGTCTTATGAATGTGCTTGGATTTCGCGTCTTTTTTCGTAAAATGAGCACATTGAAGAATTTTTCTTTAATACCAGTCGGGGTGCGTGGAATGAAAGTTTTAGATCGCATGAAATTCTTGCGTAACATTGAAATACCACTTATAAAAGTGTCAGTGGAGAATCTTTCTAAAATAAGACAACATTGCAAGCAATACTTTCTAAAACTGGACAACTTCAAGCCTGTTCAAGATTTTGAGGACGAGAAATTCAAGAAGTGTATTTATTTGAACCCAGAAACTATCACACAATGGGGTGACATATCAGAAAGCGTAAGAGACGCGCTTTTTTCTAACGGCATTGATGAAAACAACTACAGTACGAAAGTAGTACAACTGACGTACGAGAACTGGCGTTTTGATGCTATATTCAAAGCTGTGTTGCCCGAGAATGAAGAAATTGTGAGTAGCTTCTCACAAATTGGACACATCATACATCTAAATTTACGTGAACACCTCATAGAGTACCGGCAACTGATTGGCCAAGTCTTAGTTGACAAAATAAAGACATGCCGCACTGTAGTGAACAAGAGTAACATAATTGACAATACTTACCGTAACTTTAGCATGGAAGTGATAGCTGGTGATGAAGATTACCTCGTAACAGTTAAGGAGAACAACTGCATATTCGAATTTGATTTCTCTAAAGTATATTGGAATCCACGGCTTTGTAGAGAACATGAAAGGATTTTGGCCCTGTTAAAACCAGGAGATGTATTGTTTGATGTTTTCTGTGGAGTAGGCCCCTTTTCTATACCGGCAGCGAAGAGGAAATGCACAGTTTATGCTAACGATTTGAACCCGGATTCTTTTAAATGGTTGAACCATAACGCAAAGAAAAATAAAATAATTCTATCACTGTTTAAATCATACAATCTGGATGGGAAGGATTTTATTTATAATATCTTTAAAGATTATTTAATAGAATACTGTAATCAAAATAAACAGAAGGGATTGAAAATTCATGTGACTATGAACTTACCTGCTATGGCTGTACAATTTTTGAAATATTTTAAAGGTTTAATTGATGATAAACAACATTTGGATAAGTTTGATTGTGAGATAATAGTGTATGTGTATTGCTTTGCTGTAGGTGATGATCCTGATAGTATTGCAAGAACTATGATAAATGATAGCATAGGATGTGATATGTCAAAATATATCATGGATGTGTTTGATGTGAGAAATGTATCACCGAAGAAAGAAATGATGCGAGTGACAATTAAACTTACAAAAGAAGTGTTATTTGATACAAATATATATGAACCTCCTAATAAAAAATTGTGTGTTAATGATTGATACAAAGTTCTAATAACAAGTGTAAAATATAATACATTAAAACCATGTGTGAAAATAAATGCTGTTGATGTATGTTTATATGTATAGCTATATTTTTATTGTTATCAGTTATTGGCACTAAATATAATTGATTATAGTGATACAAATATATGTATATGTAAGCATGAATAGTACATTATGTAATAATGTTAAAATATTTTGTGAATATATTTTTATGTTCAGTAAATAATAGATTTTTTTTGCACATGTGAAAAGAATAATAGTGATATTTTACCTATTTGTAGGCCTGTGTGTCTGTATTTAAATTGAACTTACATATCAGTTATGTCCCAATATCAATCTATTTATGTTATTATCAAATAATATTTTAAAATTAATTGTACATATATAAATCAATTTTAAAAGAAGAAGAATGGTACAAAGTTTTTTTGTTACTCTAACTTAATGATTATATTACAAACATTGCTCTCAATTTAATAAGAACCCGAGTATTGCATCACAAACAGATAATATTTTTATCAACTGAATTAATATTATTATTTATATAAAGGTATTAATACCTACATTCTACTAGAAATGCGTATTCATTTAATCAGTGCTGAATATTACGTGATTTGATACCATTGCTATCAGTACTTCCGTGTATTGTATTGGGTTGATAGCTGTAACTGCGATTTCATACATGCGATTCCCAAGGTCATCACAAATGTTTAGAGATAAAACCATTCATATAGTGAATTAGCTTTTACTAATGTCGTGGACTTGTTAATCAGTTTTCTATTTAAATAACAAACAGACTGCTGTCCCTAAAGAAGTGTAACATTCGAACAAATTCGTTTTTTATGCAAGATTGGTGCTGAAGGTGTAAGCGTCGTACCGCGCTCCAGACGGAAAGTAAAATTACAAGTAGGTACATGATGATGATATCTTACTAATATTATACATGCGAAAGTTTGTAAGTATGAATGTTTGTTACTCTACACGCAGACTACTAAACGGATTTTGATGAAACTATAGTAACATATCTCATACGTCAGAATAACATATAGGCTATAATTTAAAAAGATATGTAAATTGATATTAAAGTGTGATGCAGACGAAGTGGCGACGGTCAGCTAGTTAAGTAGAACGCAACAACAATCATATAAATTTTTCAAATATTTTTATTATGAGATAGTCATACTATTAACTGTCCAAGTCAACCTCATGAAAGGTCCGTGGTGTATTTGAATCCAACTTGGCAGGAATATGATCTACTGCCACAATGTCGTCGAGATTTGTATTCACAACTTTTCATTAAAAATTATGTAGTAAACCAGTAAGCCGCGACGCACCGTAATATTTTCTAATAATAATCTGAATTAACCAAAATAAATTCATTTTGAAAAATTCACTCAAGTTTTAGCTTAAAATCCTAAATTCGAAATTTGAAATATTTACGTAATGCAGTTTTATATTAGGTTTGCGATGTTATATTTATATGTCAAATTTCATAATGATTGACTACGCCGATAAGTTGTGAAATCGTAACAAACTCACTATTGAATTTATATTATTAGTTAGGATACCGTTAATTTATTAACATATCAAACAAGTACGTATTTAATGCTGCTAGCAACTATTTTAATATCCTCTGTTCGTTCCAGTTCAGTAATTTTAAATAGCTATTGAATACATGTACAGATATTTGCCTAGTATGTCAGTAACACACAAAATATGTACAAAGAACCAGTTGTTTTTACGGATGATAATGGAATGGTGCATCCGCCTGCGCTAACGGTATATGCTGGTGGGCACCAATGAAGGATGATAAAATCATTATTATGTCACGTTAAGTAACTTAACTAACACTTGGCGAAGACCAAGAACTAATCATGTTTTCCAAGGGAACCATGTGGAGGTGGTCTTCACGTGGTACATTGTTAGATTTGGGGTCTATTCTTAAATACTAAGTATAAAATCCCCCCAATAGTTTTGGGGGGATTTTATACATAGAATTTGAAAATGCTTATGAAAAGCAGCTATTTTCCATAATGAGTGGTATAATTTAAATACCAATTACTGTAGGTACATAATAACAGACAACGACGTAATACCCAAAGTTATTCGACGAGGTCACACTAAATTAATGTGTATTATAATTTATTCTATTTATATCTGCTTTTATTCTAATAGAGTTGAATGTGACCTGCTAGCTGCTTTTTTATGTAACTGGTGTGGAAAACAAACAGTCTACCTTCCTGATGGTAAATAGAGACAGTCTGTTGTGCTTTTATATTTTTTGCACTAGCTGACCACACAAACGTTGTTTTACCATATAAATTAGAATCGCTATTAAAAATAAAGGGATTGGTGTTAGAAGGGTGAAAATTTAGGGTTGTAGGTATTTTTAATGGCACATTAAAAAATATAAAAAATTTTGTCCAAAAATTAAAACAAAAACATTAGGGATGGACAACCCTTATCACTTAAAGGTATAAAAAATGATAATAGCCCATTCTCAGACCTGAATATGCATATAAAATTTCATAAAAATCGGTGAAGCCGTTTCGGAGTATGGTAACTAACATTGTGACACGACGATTTTATATATAAGAAGATAAAAAATTCTAATTTTATCCTAATAAAATTGTTACGATCTGCTAGTGGCTGTTTTATGTAATTGGTATAGCAAACCAACAGACGACTCTCCTCATGGTAAACGGTGCCATTCTATAGATCTAAGAAGTTGTGCTTTATTTTTATTGAGGTGTTTAGACCTGTATCACTACGACCTATGTAGATCTATTGTGTTGACCCTGTTTTAGAGAACGCTACCTAGACGCATCCGTCTCTTTTACTGTAATTGATCTCCTAATCTGCACGCTAAAACCGAAACAGGTTACAAAGCAAGCTGTTTGGCAGCTGAAATAGGTGAGCCTGAGGAATCCACATAGATGACTTCTGAGGCAGAAAAAAAGCACCGTATATTTTTAGGTAATAGTTCATTGTAGTATTGATTCGAGTAGCCCGTTATTACGGCTTTCGACTGTAGCAAAACTGTCTTGCCCTCGACCCACTCTCAAAATTCTCCATAGCTACCTTATCATGCGTTACCATTGCTGAAGATGTAAGCGTCGTCCCACCACAACTTGTATGTAAAAGACATAAATAACATATTTACTTACAACACTTACTGATAACATACCGAATTTACCTACCAACAATGCAGTAGTTTTAATAAAGCGTTCAATTCCGTTCTAGGGCTGTCTTCAAAATGCCTCAGCAGCAAACAGATGTCAGTTCGGAGCTGGCAGATTTCGCGGACGTTTTAGAAGAGACAGAAACGGTATGCCACTATTTATTTGTATAATACTTGTATTATTTAGAATAAATTATCGCGAATTTTATAACGAGAATTCATGATTTTCAGTTTTCGTGTTTATTTTTTATTTTTATGGATGCATCCACTTCATCATAGAATGAAAATTAAATCTGGTCAAGGAATACCGTGGCAATTTAACCACGACGTGTGGATGCGAATTTGTGCGGTTGCCTTATGGGGGTTGATCTGGCATTGCTGGCAATGGGGTCACCATTTACCTTTAGTAACAACTCCCATTTTTCCTGCAATATTTATATTTACCTCTCATATATACAAAAGTTCAATTTTAATACTATGTTAAAATTTAACTTTCGTGTTTTTTAATAGTGTCGTTGTGTTTTTAATAACTTTTACTTCCTATGGTCGCGTGATCAATTCCTCGCGCGGTACTAACATTTGTATTCATGAATATGATTACATTGGTTTATATTGGTTTAAGTGTTTTCTAAGTGTTAACTGATATATATACTTAAATACATACATGATATGGATAATATCATGTATGTATTTAAGTATATATATCAGATGTCTTGTGTCTATAACACAAGCTGTTGGTTAGCTTGTGACTTGATTGCGCTATGTGATTTGTCCAGGGATGTAATTATTATTATTAAATCTACCATCCGTTCTAAATGTAGGAGTACTTTGAGCAGCGAAGAATTGACAAGAAACTCCTTATTTTAAATGCGATTATACATAAGTATTATAATGCATATTAATCAGAAATGTAGGGTATTAAATTAATGTCATTAAATTAATAAACTAATTATTTTTTTTACAGATAATTAAACAATGTTTCAAGCAATACAAGTTAAACGAAGTGTTCCTATCATTCAACGGTGGTAAAGACTGCACAGTACTGTTAGACATAACAATCAAGTTACTAAGAAATATTTACAAATGTGAAGACATAGGGAAGGACTTAAAAGTAGTCTACATACGGACGAACGATCCGTTCAATGAAATAGAAGAATTCGTTAAATTAATAGAAGAACATTATAGTGTTAGATTGAATGTAGTGAACGGTGAGATGCGGACGTCACTGCAGAGGATACTGGACGAGGATGACAGTCTGAAAGCGTGTCTTATGGGAACAAGGCGAACGGATCCTTTTAGTCAAGATTTGAAATTTATGCAGGTAATTTTTTGTCATGGATGATAATGGAATGATGCACCCGCCCGCGTTAACGGTATACGTTGACGGCACCAGCGGAAGACGATAAGATAAGCAAAGTCAGGTTAGTTAGCCCATCATGGTAAATTCACCAGGAATTTATTACGATTATTGAAGGGTTCAACCTGATATGGTATATTGCTAGCTATGGAATCATTAGTCTACATTGCTAACAATCCCCTTCTCCCTCCTGTTTTGGTAGATAAGGAGCAAACTAGAATTAGGCGAACATAGATCGCTCAAAGAAGCCAAAAGTATCGATTTATATTTGATGGGATAGATGGATGTATAATGCTACGTTTACATTCAACCGCTTCCCCTGCCACTCGCGCTGTCGGAAATATTGCCGGGCGACAACTGAGCGACAGGGCTGAATGTAAACACACGCTGCCAGTCCTTTGACTCGCGCATGAAAAACCGTCAATCGAGGGAGCGCCGGGAAAGCGAGTTTCAGCGCCAATGGCATGGGAAGTATGCCATGCTCACTCCCTGCCCACTCCGGCTGAGTGTCAATTGGGCTTAGAAAACTATACTATTTTCAATCTACATAAAAAATTTAGGATATTCACAATTCGAGTATATTTTACCTCAGTACTTTTTTATCTGTGGTCCAATTTTTATCATATTTTTTATTTAAAATATAACTCTACTCGTATCCCACACAGTTTTTAAATCATCCTTATTAATACGTCTGAAGTTAGTTTTTTCATGGCGATATAAGACTTTATAATTCTTTTTTGTATTGTCATACTACTATATGTTATTTTTTTTATTCAGCATACCGATCACAACTGGCCATCAATATTACGGGTATCACCGCTTCTCAACTGGTCCTACCAACACATATGGAGTTATTTGATAAACCAAAAAGTGCCTTACTGCAGTTTATACGATAAAGGGTAAGATATAATCCTAATATTGTAAACCTGAATATAATGACAGCATCAATGGTGTAGTGGTTTAGATACCGCCTTACTTCCGATATTCGCCGGTTCGATTCCTGGCACAGTACAAATATTTTGTATTCATGAAAATGATTGTTTGTAGTGGTCCCGGCGTTTCCTAAGTATATATATTAAGTATTTACAAAAAAGTTTTATATCAGTTGTCTAGTACCCATACCACAAGCTCTACTGGATCAACTCTGTATTAATTACGACAATGCTTTTTATTCAAGAACTTTTTATGTTACTAGGTATACGTCAATAGGCAGCACGAAAAACACTTGGCCTAATCCAGCGCTCGCGTACAAAGACCATTGCGGCTGTCTCTCGTACCTGCCAGCTTGGAGGTTGTCTGATGCCACGCTAGAACGAGCCGGCCGAGGTGCGCCACCAACATCAGTCAGCAATGGACACGATGCAAGCAATAACGACAACACACATAGCAACGGCGATGTACATTAGCTAAAGTAATTTAAAATTTTATATCGAATTTATTACACTAGATACACTTGCTGTAATCGCTGCATTTAAATTATTTTGTGTTTAAATGGGACATATAGTGAGCAGTAGGTGTCTACGGAAGACTAGAGTCGAAGAACTGTGGACTGTTATTGTATGAACTAGCATCGTACATTATTTCGCAACACAAACATTTTATTTTACATTTCATTTTTTTTTTAAATCATATCGCATTTTATAATTGATCATCTTGATCACAAAATTTTGTCATTAATCGGTTATATTTTAAGTTTCAAAGTACAGTTATAATCAAGTATCTATAATTAATATTTATCAGATTTAGCTATCAGAATCATTATATCATTCGGTACAACTCGAACAGTTAGATATTATTAAAGTGCATATAAGTCCAATTTTTTAACCATTTACCGTTACGGATTTTACCTTAGATGAGGTAGTCAGAAATATTGAAAAATTTCAACATCATGGTGAACGCAACACCTTATGGATTGTAAGTCGAAGGGCCACGATGCTCTCTTGTTTCTAATACTTTATGCTTATTTGATTATTCTGCTGTTTTTTATTTGGTGGCACCGACTGACATTTTTATTTAAGCTGTAATTCCTGACACTTTGTTTTATTGAATTAATCTTTTAAGAAAATTTAAAATTTATTAAAAAATAGAAAGAGTAATTAGAAAAAACAGAATCCACTTATTTATTTAACTTATTTACATTTTTGTATAGAAAGACTAATTCTTTCTATACAAAAATGATATTTTCAAAAATTTTAATATGTATTTTCCGGGCGTACTGTAATTGTATGGTCAATGTTGTATGCATATCATTTGCTGTAACCGGAATATATAAAATAGGAAATTGACGTTTAATTACGCAAGGTACGGATGTGTACTTCCTAAAACGTTTTAGTATTATCAGGCCCGATTAACCATTACACATTCGACCCCGCATCGCCATGAAGTCCATCAGCGCATGCACAAAACATGTGTGAAATATTATTTGAAAAATTTGAGGCCCCAAAAAAATAGGAATTATAATATTGCTTTTTTTCGACAGAAATATATGAATACAAAATAGCACTGAGTAACATGTTTTTGTCACTTTTAATTGACCCTGTCTCTTTAAAAACAACAACCACATTGTGGAATCTTTTTCCTGCAATGGCATTTCCGAATTTATTCTTTTTTAAAACGCCGACAACGCACTTGCAATTCCCCTGATGTTGCGGGTGCTCATAGGCGGCGATAATCACTTACCATCGGGTGAGCCGCATGCTCGGTTGTCCCCTGTGTTATAAAAAAACGCCCCCAGAATTGTAAAAGGTTTATCAGGACAAAATATGTCGAGGCCTCGAGGCATTCGCTGAGTTACACAATAATTTTTATATTTCTGGATACCAACCTCAATGAATCAAAATGATAATCATGTTCTATTACAATTAACTGTGAGTTGCAAATATCCCATTTATTTTGTGTCAGAAAATATAAGAATACTGTAAGAAAAGTGTGTTATTCGAATACATTTATATGCACTTTTCTTTGATTGTTATTATTATTAGTTGAAACTTAAAAGACATACAGAATTATATTAGGCAGAATTTGTATAATTATATAATTCACGAATACCTTATTGGAATATATACAAAGAGTGCAGCGATTGTCGCAAGTGTATTTTAGTATTTATTATTGTTTATTAGAAAAATATATAAAAGGTATAGCAATCCGGAATCCAGTCATAATATTTGTGAAGCAAAATAATTTGCCTTAAAAATGCATATTCATTATATGGTCTTTCAAATAATAGTACAAAATAATCTTTTATACAAATTATAGAGTAATATTAGTATGTAAAATAATATTGTATGCATAAAAAACCTGGGACTCTTAAATTTCAGTCCAATATCAACAATTAATACCACAATGCACAATATTTTTGACAAAAAACTTATGTTTTGTTATTATGTAATTTTGAATATCCAATAGACTATAAGAATAATGTATCATGTATAAATTGCCGTTTATATATAATATTATATCAAAATAACAGGCATAAAAAATAATCTGAATTGATTCCAGTAAAAAATTGATAACAATATTGTAGCTGGATTTTGGTTTGTACCTACCCTTTAACATTTTTATAATACTGGCGGCTATAAATACGGAGAAAATATTTTAATTATTAGATCTAAATAGAGTAAATTATAATGAAATTAATAAAAATACTTAATTGCCGAAGTAATTTCTACTTAATTATTGTACTTATTAACAAAATCGGGCAACACATCGCTCCGAATTATTAATGATATTATTATATAATCTGCGATGAATTAATATTTAGAGGTAAACATAATAATACTCTAGACAATACAAAGTAAGGTTGTACAAATGTAATGCGTTGACTTATTTATTTGTAAATACGTAACAAATTATTGTGATATATTTGCAAAATCTGATTATTTATTAGAACCGTTATATATAATAGACGTTTAAAATGAGTGGTAAACAACATTTACGTCCAATTTGGGATTTTATCTATTTAGTTATAACATAATTATCCTAATTATATATTTATTGTTATCCTACTTATTCATGCAGAATCGTGCAATCATTAGGTATAATGTCTCCTAAGTATTTCTCACAGTTTCTGATTTATGATATTATTTATTGACATTCCTAAAATTAATACTGATGCTGAAAAATCGAACTGTAACTCACAATTCAAAATATACCAGTTATTTACCTAATTGGCTTTCTATATCTGTCTTTACATAATATAAAATGAAGTCGCTTCCGCTCTTAGACCTTTTAAATTATGCAACGGATTTTAATGCAGTTTTTAGCAATAGATTATTATGATTCACAAAGAAGATTTATATGTATAATGCATGTACACCCGTGTAAACCTAGGGCAAGATGATAGTGTACATATAAAATTCATCTCACCACCAAATAAATCATTTGAATTGATGTATCTGCGATTGAAAATGTTCAGTATAGATTAATAATACATTCCAATTGTTTACTTTGATTCCTATATGTTTCAGTGAAAAAAAAGTATAATAACAACCTTAAAATGCTAGTCAATGCATTGAAATTTCATCTTTACCTACCTACTAATATCTCATGTTTTTGCAAAAGTATTTGTCCTTGGCAATTCATTGTTTTTAGATATTATCTAACTTTAGTGAGAGAATTATGTACATGTGCTTCTGTGATTGCAGTGTATTGTATTATTGGCGTTAGGTTGAAAACCACTGAAGTACATTGTTGTTATAAAAAAACTATTACATAGTTTACGATCTTAGCAGTCAATCACTTGATGTATTTATACCTAACAATAAATTTAAATATATATGTGCAGATTAAGGATATGGTGCAACTAGGAATATGGACGCCGGTGAAGAAAATATTATTTCCAAAAGGTGCTATACTATAGTTAAAGGTACACATTAAATAATCTGGTTTACTGCACCTTAAAAAAGACCTTAAAGGCAACTTTATGGTCAAAATAAGCCTTTTATTTTCTGAATATCTCAAGATATGTTTATCACTGGATTCTTATAACAACCGGCCAAAACATAACAATGTTACTAATATAATAATATTGACAAAATATTATTTATAAAAGAGAATAGTATTTTCATTACAATTATTATTCTAATATAATAGCCGAATTAATTGTTTATCACACGAATTGTTATCTCATATTTTATTTTACACGTTTGTTTTTTGTTTCAATAAAAATATCATTGCACAATACAGTAGTTTATTTAAAATACCTTAACCTATATTTACAAGATTTTGTACATACACTTGTCATTAAGTTTTATTCCCCGTATTGTTAGGTTTCACGTGTTTGTTGAGGAATTCTTGGAACATGGCAACATCCTTGGGTTTATCATCTGCAAGAGAAAAGTATTGCATATTAGAAAAATAATTTTCGCAGTAGTGTTATTTAATACATGTTATCCCACTAAATACAAGATGTATTTTGGATATACAATTACATATATTTATAATATATATGGAAGTCAGATATATGTTACTGAATTGATTGAGAGTAACTCTCCCCTCACACTAAAAATCACTATTGCTATACAGAAATTTATTGCAATGTCAAATACTCTTACTACGCCAAATGTATATTTTTAAAGAGTTGTCTAAGTGTACTTGTATCTTAACTAATTATGCCACCCACAGTATTGTAAATATTCCCCGTGTGTAGTGCCCCTCAGGCGTAAACCATTACCGCAAGCGGGTATCATACCATTATCATCAAAAAAAACCTATAGGTACATACCAACATCTGGTTTGAGTTCAGTGCCCTCCTCATCGCTGGAGCTCTCGTTGCCCGGATGCTTCAAGTACATGTCACTGATCTCCCGTCCAGCTGGAATTTCCTCAATTAGCTTCTTCTTTTCCAGCACAATGTTGGGTTTCTCTAAAAGAGATAGCATGACTTAGATTGTATATGTATAGACAAACAAATTGTATTTCTAATTAGATATTTACAAATACTTTAAAAGCAAGTACACTACACTACGTTGTGTTTATTAATAAAATATATAAAGTAGAAATGAAGTTTTCTAAGGAATATTTTAGATAAAGTTTTATGTGACGATTCTATGCGCCATACAACTGAATTATTCTACATTCACTGGTAGAAAACTCCCCATAGTGCTAACTCCGACAAATATACCTTTACCTCACTTTTAATATTATATACATATAGTTAGCAGTTAATTATAAATAGACTTATGCACTCAACTGAGATAGATGTAGTGTCCTTTAGGGCTTTTATAGAAATAATATGCATGAACAAATAATTTGTTCTTATTTAAATTGTGTATGTACCTATTGATAATACTAAGAGGAAATGTTCGTTAAATTTTATCATCATTATTAGAAACTCGGTTCAAATGGAAAGGAAATCTCAATGGCGGGAATTAATTCACACCAAGTAATAAAAATTATACACCATCAATAGGAAATGAATATAATACCTCTCTGGAGTCTTTTTTCTTCATCCTTCTTTTTCTGTTCTTCCAATTTCTGTGCGCGCATCTTCAACCAGTCTTGTTTGTATTCTCTGAAACGTTGCATAAATATTTTGACCAACAGTCTATATGCATAACATTCACAAGTCTATTCGGGCTACTCTAGATACTAAGATAGATCCAATAACCTTGGATTTTAGCCTTGTTTTTTTTTATACTCTTGTATAAAAAGCAAGAACAAATATATATATATATATATATATATATATATATATATATATATATATATATATATATATATATATATATATATATATAAATATATATATATATATATATATGGCACATTACCAACTTGTATATGTTTCGTGGTCCGTAGAAAACAATAGAATAGAAAATCATTTATTCAAATTAACTTATTGAAACACTTTTGAAGTAACCACCTTTTATTTTAATCTACCTAATCTAGTGAAAGAACTAACCGCCATTGTTATCAATTTATTAGGTTTAATCTACTACAATATTGATTACGCTTAAGAACAATAAAAAACTGGATTGAAAACCAGATTGAGACTCAGAGACTCCAGAGTAGACATGCAGTTCTTAAATTATAATAATATAGAACTATCTATCGTACATGTGGATATCGCTTGCTTGCTTACTTTAATGCTTTACAAGATACGTTTTGGTAGAACGTAGCGAAATCAGGGTACAGAGGCAAGCCTCTGAGGACTATGATATCATGATATCGTAGTCCTCTGGGATGGCAACGAATGGAAGGTATGGGGCATGTTTATAGGGGATGGTTATATTATTAGGCACATTGACTGAAGTAGAAAAAGTATAATCCATCACATTTAAAATAAGTAGTGTTGCTAAGTAACAGTTTGTATGTAACGTGCAACTGCAATCGGAACGAAGTAAATTATATTTACAACTGTATACGTAATCCACTGAATATCTCTATCATATATACAATAAGCCGAACCATCATGAATGCCATTAACAAAAAAAAATATTTGCATTAATCGTTTATGCATGTGTAATGTATCTTTAATGAACTTGAAATTCAAATGTAATTCTATTTCAATATGAGATATTGTTTGTTTATGTTATAAAAAATATACAAACTTTTCATATTCTTCAGCAGCAGCGTCAACCAACTTGAAGAACTCGTCAATGCCCTGACAATTTAATAAAACGAATTCATTAATGAAATTTTAAACTACATTATATAGAAGAATAGCAAAGTATTTGCAATAGTATTAGTAATTCTATTGGAAGAGTAATGTTTCTCACATTATTATTGCAATACAATTCAATAAATTTATAGTTAACAACTAGGTACCGTGAGATCAGAAAGTTGCTATTGAGCGTTTAAATTGAAACTACCATTAAATAGAAAGGAATTAGTTATTAATTTAAAATTATAGACAAGTCATTATAACCGAAAACATCTCAATAGCACCATTTACATTTTAGTACAGCACCATCTAATGGGACTGAAATAACTAAAATTATCTTAAGCATAGAGTTAAATCCTGTCATAAAGAAATATCTCCATCTTGACCAGATTAATATATATACACACGTAAATCTATTAGATTATAAGTTTATTAGATTGCTTCCTACTTTTTAAGTTAGTTACATATATAAAGGCGCACAACTAACCTGACCGGTGTGCGCGCTGACCCCGCAACACTTGAGGTCGGAATAGAAGGCGTCAAGTGCGAGCGCCATAGAGCGAGTGAGGTTCCCAACATACGAAGGGCCTCCCTCGCCGTCACCTTCGCCGCCCGCGTCCAGCGCCTCCTGGAACGCTTCGAAGTCCCGCATCCATTCCACCGCGTATGAATTGTCTACTACGTCTGTCTAGAAATACATGTTTTATAATAATAATATTATAAACGCTAAAGTTTGTAAGTATGGATGTTTGTTACTCTTTCACGCAAAAACTACTGAACAGATTTTGATGAAACTTTACAGTAATATAGGTTATGCATCAGAATGATATATACGCTACATTTTTTATTTAAATTTAACGCGGGTGAAACCGCGGCCACAGGTCATCAATCACATTTTTTTATATATTTCTTTATTTCTAAAGGATGGACTTAACAAACTTGCCAATATGAAGAATTCCTTCACCTATATCTATAGTATCATCATATATTTCAATACTTAAATATAATCTGTCACCATGCATGTTGGGTTTACAATAAAATAGTATATAGTTAATTTAAAATAGTTATATGTATTCTAATTTTAAACCGGTATATAGTTCTAAATAAATAAATATACTAATCACAGGCAGGGGAATACAAATTATTAGCATAATAAAACTCAGTAAATAAATAAAAATTTTAAGTTACCTTATTCATGACGACAATAAATGGCAGCCGTGTCTTGTACAGTATAGAGCATGCATACAGCATGTTGGACATGAACGTGACAGGGGAGACACTGCGGACTGTGTCCATTACGTACACAACTACAGTGGGGCAGGCAGACGCTAATGACTCACTCACTATTGTCCCTGACGCCGACCATGTGAACACTTCTATTTGACCTGTACAATAGTGCAAGTGACAATTTAAGTGTCTGTATTATAAGAAACTTATAAAATTATAGTATAAACTCAATATAACAACATGGAATGGACTGCATAATGAGTAAAATGTGTCTAATAGTGATTATAAATATTTCTTAAATGAAATATGTAAATATTTTGCCAAATATGATATAAAATTATTTTGGAATATGATACATTGATAAAATAACTTAAATGTCCCTTACAGTATAAATATTAAACTACATATAAACTGGACAGTGTCTAATGCATAATATCATAAGTATTATATATGATTTAAAGTAAATGTTCAAATGTTTCTGTGTCAAAATAGATTTCCACTAACTATATGCCTCAGCTTCAATTGCATATAATGTGATAAGTAAATATTATGTGTTAATCTAGCAATAGAACATAAGCCATATACTCAGAATTAAAATCCATTCAACATTTTATATAATTTGAAAATTGCAATTAATATGTCAAGATCTTGAATCTTAATATACTAAATAAATTATTACAGTACATAACTTAAAAATAAAGTTATTTATTTAAAAAAAATGCATTACCTGGTGTATCTATTACACAGTATTTATGTTTCTTGCCAGCCTTTTCTATGAGATTCACAACTTGGCCAAACTTTGTGGAAAATAAGTTGAGGGCTGTCACTATACCTCCATTTGGACCCAGGCCATACTGTTTCATCACTTCTTTATAATCAACAGTGTCTCTGATATCTGCAATAAAAACAAATATTCTTAGAGAATTAGGCGGCAAAATATACAGAGTATATTTTATATGACAGATAAAATGGATTAGATATAAATCTCTAGTCTTGTCTAATAAAATTATGTATCTTATAATATTCTGGCTAATAAATACATCTATCAAATATTCCTACTACCACTATTGTAATTAACTAGTACAATAATCAAAATATTGCCCTCTCAGTTTAATTAATAAATTAATTCTCCTCTAAATAACTAATTATTGTAAAAGTAACAAGCTGTAGATATACTATAATAAAAAAAAATACAGAGTAATACTCCTAACAATAGACTAGGTACAATAATAAAAATGAAACATTCTATTTTCAAAATTCTATGTTTATGAATTTTGAAAACAGAATGTTTCATTTTTATTTCATAATTTCAATTAGAGAACCACGAATTCTTACCTATATAACTTACCAATGTTAGCTGGATATGGTACTTCTCGACAGGCAGGGTCCAAATTAATGAGATATGGTCTTGAATCTTCTATTACTTTACTGGCGAGACGTCTTGTGAATGATGTCTTACCAGCACCGGCCATGCCTGCAAGATTACAATAAAATATCAATTAGATAGTGACTAGATAAGTGAAATATTGTTCTATTATATTAAAATGATTTTTTTTTACATTACAAGTAAGAAGTAAATAGAATCTAACCTAAAATGATCAGGCAGACGGGCTTTCTGATTACTTCCACGACTGTGTCCGGGTCAGAAGTCTCTGAAGAAGACATCTTGCAATAGTTGTAATGATTTTCGTGAGTTATTCGATTTAACTATGGAAATTTATCTAACTATCAAGGAAAACAAACAGAATTCAAAACAACATATTTATTGATTAATTTAATTTGACAAATGAAAGATTGAAATTGAATGGTTAAGGTTGAGGAATCGCAAAGTGAATGATAATTTCGAAAATGGTGTCAATTTTGACAGCAAAATTTTTTTGCCTATGGCAATAAATGTTAGGCTAAGGTCATTTAGCTATACAGCTATTGTCTAGCATTGCTTTTCTAAATTATGACTATAATATTTATTCAAATCATTTTGAAAATTAAACCAATACTGCAATATAACTATAATAAAATCGTTTTTTTAACACTTTAGGAGACTAGCAAAATGGGTATTGGGCAACACGTGTATAAAAAATAAAATTCTTAAGCTCTACAGTGGTGGACCCCGAAAAGAATGCTAGAAAAATATGTGGAGTTTGAGCTACGTAGTTAAGCCCGTTCAGTGTAGGCATAGATTATATAATATACTTTAAAAGTGCAGGTACACTTGCACCAGCAATCGACATTAAGCCCGTAACTCTTTGTTCATAAGAGGTTCTTTGACATCGGAGATACGAAAAGGACTCAGATGAGAGTCATTTGCAGATGACGTTGTGCTGGTTGGTGAAAGGGAGCTGAGATACATACACAATAGATTGATAATGTAGCAGTAAAAGCTAGAAAGTTGTGGTTAGAAAATTAGCAATTCTTGAACATACATGTTTCGCTATTTCGGTAGTCTTTCTGTCTTCACTCCTCCAAAGCGAATTAGAATGGTCTAATACGTGTGAACCTAGATGGCATGGACCATAAAGCATAACATTTTCGCAGGGTGGATGAAGTGCCGGCAGTTTACGGCGACGTATCCCTAACTTTATTTTCTTTAAACTTAAGGAAAAATTTACTAGACTATTGTCTCATATGGTCAGATGAAATTTGATTAAGCAAGCATCTGAACTATGAGCTGAACGTAATTAAGGCATATATCACCGATATTGAAAGTATCGTCGTGTTATACGTACCTATTCTATTTTCACATTAAAACAATAACTGTAAAAAAATAGGCACTTTATTCTCTTAACTATTTTATTTACAATACATGTAACATAAAGAATAAATAATTTATTGAACATCTTTTTCGAGATTTAAAAACATTATCGGATACATATGGCCCAGTGTTGATATTTTTTTTTGTATGATCAGTCGTAACGTATCTGTGTAAGTAGCAGGCGGCTTGCATGTAGATGGGTCGCGCCAATGGAGCCCTAGGAAAAGAAAATTGTGTCATATGAGCTAATATTGTAAGATATGCATGTCCAATTGCTTAATTTTGAATAAAAATGGCCGAATCACAATCAAATATATAAAGTACTGAATATAAAGTAGTCAATAAAGGTTTTATTTTATATTGTATAGCTGTTATAGCTGTACAGTTTCGCAAAGAGTAACAAACATCCATCCATACAAACTTTCACGTTTTTATTATTAATACAATTTTATATGACAACTAAAAAGTTTTAAAATTATTATGAATTTGTTTATTTTTAATTATAAATGTTTTTCCTGACGTAAATAAATATTTTTCATTTATTATTACATAACAAATTTAATACTATTCTAAATTTAAAGTAATTTCAAATATATTGTAGGGATAAATGAACAATTTGCTTATAAATAATGGTCATATAAAAGATAAGCTTTATTTCATACCTGTGGAATCACAAGTAAACAGGGCTGGTGAGGGCACATGATCCCTGGTGTAGTTCCATAAACAATCCCTTAACACTTGTACAGTCTGTAAAGAAAAAATAGGGCTGTAAAAATGACACAAATGAAAGTCATCAATCCAAAAACATTATTAAGTTAAAAAAAACGGTAAAATTTAAATATCGGCTGTAGAAAGTAGAAGATTCTACGGCCGATTGTACGCCGAATGCGTGGTAGCAATATGAGTCACCTCGCTAGCCGTGAGCTCGGGCGCCAGTTCCAGCATATGGCTGAGTGGATGCGGCAACAACTGGCCCAGCGTCATAGTGGCGAGCAGTTCCGAGAGGGCCGCCCTCTCGCGCGCCAGCTCCGACGACTGGCTGTGGCGGTCTGCTAGACGTAGAGATATAAAAATCATAATATATTTAAATATTGACAAAATTAATAAAAAACTAATAGAATAAAAATAAGAGGGCTAAAGGTTAACACTCTGAAGTAGACCTGAATGCCGAGACCGCGAGGTACAACAGTACGGGAGCGGTACGTACCCGCGAGGTGGGCCCGCAGGCGGTGCAGCAGCGTGGCGGCGGGGCGCGGTACGTACCCGCGAGGTGGGCCCGCAGGCGGTGCAGCAGCGTGGCGGCGGGGCGCGGTACGTACCCGCGAGGTGGGCCCGCAGGCGGTGCAGGTGGGCCCGCAGGCGGTGCAGCGTGGCGGCGGGGCGCGGTACGTACCCGCGAGGTGGGCCCGCAGGCGGTGCAGCAGCGTGGCGGCGGGGCGCGGTACGTACCCGCGAGGTGGGCCCGCAGGCGGTGCAGCAGCGTGGCGGCGGGGCGCGGTACGTACCCGCGAGGTGGGCCCGCAGGCGGTGCAGCGTGGCGGCGGGGCGCGGTACGTACCCGCGAGGTGGGCCCGCAGGCGGTGCAGCGTGGCGGCGGGGCGCGGTACGTACCCGCGAGGTGGGCCCGCAGGCGGTGCAGCAGCGTGGCGGCGGGGCGCGGTACGTACCCGCGAGGTGGGCCCGCAGGCGGTGCAGCAGCGTGGCGGCGGGGCGCGGTACGTACCCGCGAGGTGGGCCCGCAGGCGGTGCAGCAGCGTGGCGGCGGGGCGCGGTACGTACCCGCGAGGTGGGCCCGCAGGCGGTGCAGCGTGGCGGCGGGGCGCGGTACGTACCCGCGAGGTGGGCCCGCAGGCGGTGCAGCAGCGTGGCGGCGGGGCGCGGTACGTACCCGCGAGGTGGGCCCGCAGGCGGTGCAGCAGCGTGGCGGCGGCGGCCCGCAGCAGTGCGGACGCGAGACAGAGTGCGGGCCGCGCGGCGGCGGCGCGGCGCAGTGCGGCCCGCGACACGGCGCAGCCCTCCAGCACGGCGCGCATGTACAGCTCGCGCTCGATGCTCACTTGCTGCAACCACACCGTCCACACTTCACTTACACCACACATTATATCAGTCATTCATATCTCTGTTCTCGCGAACACTGCTAGCGGCGTCGATGTGCCACCGAGTGGTCGAGCGCCACCGAACAACTTGGCCCCGCGCCTATTTACATGAGCGTACGTTAACGGAAGAGTAGAATCCCAACGAAAAATGTTCTATAATATCAATAGTGCTCTTCGGGACAAAAGTCTAAGGGTATAAAATAGTTTAATTATATTTCAATATGTCTGTCGTAATTATTACAGGTTTATGAATTATAATAATATGTATAAATACTATTAGGTATATAATATTGAAACAAATGTTACCTTAGTAAAATCTTCATCTGGCCACGGCAGTCCGTTGTACATAACATCGGGTGATACAAGCTCAACTAATAACAGTGACAGCGACGTAGCGCCTTCTACAACGCCGCTATTACCATCCTATAACAAACAAACTGCGATCAAAATTTAAAATATCACTCAACACACAAACAAATAATGAAGTGTTGTGTCCGTTGTTGAAGTGTTAAAAACATTATTAAATAATTAGCATGAAGGATAGTGAAAAGAGAACCAGGGCTGTTATCATCGTGAGAAGTTTAACCGACAATTCACCGGTGAGCTCCTTCCTTCATACCTATTCACTCCAGCGAGACTACAGCATGGGGTTTTCAGGAAGGGTATATTAAGGTTTCTTAAGGGTTGAGCCATCCATAGGGCGTCCACAAGCGGTAATCGTTTACCATCAGATAGGCCGTATGCTTTTTTGCCAACGTCATAGTATAAAAAAAACTAACGTAATGCTGAACTCACCATGCAGGACATAAGAGCGCCCATCAATAGCTCGTTGTTCGTACTTAATATTGGCGGGATCCTGTCATTGTCGCTACCATTTTGTTTACGGACACCTTTCCCGATGATTCCCGCGTGGAAAACTGACGTGTGACTCTGTGTCAACTGAGTAATTGGACCCTGGGAACAATAGTATTAGATTACATTACAATACCTACAATTTTATAATCGAGAGCGCAAATTTTTTAAATAAAATACATACCACGTTGCTAATAATCGTTTAGAAATAAAAATCTAATATCCTCTTAATAAGCATAATATTCATTTAGATAATGATGATGAAGAAGTCAAAAGGTTTTTGCTGCTAAACAGCAAAAACCTTTTGATTTGAGCAAATCAGTATAAACTAGTTTTATGACCAATTGGTAAATTTTAAACGTAAAAATCGTGGCCACTTTCCTGTATATAGGATATTCTATTCAATTTTATTATAATATTTAATGCACCAACATTATAAAACATTAAAATACAAAACAAGGCGGTCTTATCGTTAATACAATCTCTACCACCGACCAATATTGTCGATTGTAATTCGTATAATGTTCTGTGGAATGTGAAATTCCTTTCCACAAAAGGTAAAAAACTCACGTGTTTCTGATTGAGGTATATGAGTAGATCCTCTCCAGAATCTCTGGAGCTGGTGCTAGCGCCGCTAGTGGTGGTGTTTCTGCTGCCGAAGGCGTCCTCCTCCCGGAACATGGCCGTCTCGAGCAGCTCGCGCAGCGCCACCGCGCGCGCCAGCTTGCTGTGCAGGCACAGCTTGCGGAGCAGTCGACATGCTGTTTGTACACCTCGCAGCTTGTCCATTATATCTACAAAGATAACAAAGGAAATGTCAAGAAACACAAGTCACTTTAATAAAACTTAGTTGATATTAAAAGATTTAAAAGCTCATTTATAGAAAGATTTTTTTGCTACCAAGGTAACCTCCAATACAACAAAATAAATAAAATATTTATTAACATTAACTCCTTGTCAAAAATTCTATGAAAGAAATGTATCAAATCCTGGCTAAAGAAGTTAAGTTATGACGAAACAGAAAACTTTATACTGTAAATACAAATTATACCATAAATACTATAAATCAGTTTGATTACGTGGTTATCGGCATATAATGAGTTATTTATCTTTAACTGGCTTTATGTCTTTTTATTGTTTCCTTTTTTTATCGAATATGTAATGTTATGTTAAGTAGTATGTATGTTTTTGTGTTGTGTAAAAGTAAATGTTAATAAGTGAAATAATATGCACCCTGGGAAGGTGTGTGACATCTGAGATACAGTATAATTCTATACTAGTTCAGATGGCACAATTACACTTGTATGTTAAAATTGTATTGGCTCTTATGTACAACTTAATTATGTAACACAACCTATAACTGCAATAACTATTATTATTATTAATAAATATCTAAACGATATATTCATGCTAATATATTACAAATGAACTGTGTGTGTGTGTGTGAACTACCTAATCAAATAGGACGTTTTACGGTATTTTAAACAATGAAGACGTCAAACTTATATTATTAGTATAATAGTAATAAATATTGTTAGAATATGGCGTAATGTACAAAATATAAGTGTTGGCTTCTTACTGAATAACGTTGTTTAATACTTTTAACTGCCGTTTCCCAAAGTCCGCTAAATTATTTTGTGGAATGTACATATAATATAAAATAAACCTGACTTATTCACTAATTATTATCCAATTTTGGTGTAACAAAATAAGCATACCTTCCTCATGTAGACATCTGAAGAAATATTTAACAGTTGCTTGCACTACTTTCAAAATTACCTCCACACTTGGTTGTGGAGATTTCGTTCCTGACATGTCAACTTTATCTAATACCTAAAACAATAAAATATCTCTTTATTAAATGTATCTACAAATTTAACAATGATTGACAAGTTCTGTGTAAAGATTTAACTAAGTAGTAATCGTAACTCAATTATTGCCTTGTTACCATCACAGTTATTGCTAGCCATTTAAGTAATTAAGTAGTTAATTTCAGTATTTGCTAAACCCAGGTTCTTATGTTACTTTGTAGGAATACAGTTATTGAATTATAGTGTGTCTTACAAATAAAATTGTACCAAGCAATTTCCATGTATTATGCATGTATTTGGCTATAGTAAAAATGAGTGGAAACAAAAAGGTGGTGTGCAAACTTTGGGACAGCCTACTGCGTATAGCTTATAGTATCAGCGGATCGTGAATTTGTTGAAATGTACGATATAATTATATTATTCAACTTAATAAATACACCGGGTTGCGCAATGGGTTGATCCAGGGTTATAGGTTTTTTTTAACATTCTAGATATATTTCTTTACTTGAAATATCGTTTCAGTAGGAAATGAATCCTCGGGGCCCTGGGCTGCAGCCCAAAAAGTCCATCCCTCCACTTGTAGTAGGTGGAGTGTGTGTGTGTGTGTGTGTGTGTGTGTGTGTGTGTGTGTGTGTGTGTGTGTGTGTACGTACGTGTGCGAGCGCGTGCGCGGTGGGCATGTGCGGGAGCGCGGCGCAGGTGGCGGGCGGGCGCGCGCGCAGCACGCCGCACAGCCGCTGCAGCGCGCCGCCCACCCCGTACAGGCTGCCCTCCACTTGTAGTAGGTGGAGTGTGTGTGTGTGTGTGTGTGTGTGTGTGTGTGTGTGTGTGTGTGCGCGTGCGCGGTGTGCGGGAGCGCGGCGCAGGTGGCGGGCGGGCGCGCGCGCAGCACGCCGCACAGCCGCTGCAGCGCGCCGCCCACCCCGTACAGGCTGCCCTCCACTTGTAGTAGGTGGAGTGTGTGTGTGTGTGTGTGTGTGTGTGTGTGTGTACGTACGTGTGCGAGCGCGTGCGCGGTGGGCATGTGCGGGAGCGCGGCGCAGGTGGCGGGCGGGCGCGCGCGCAGCACGCCGCACAGCCGCTGCAGCGCGCCGCCCACCCCGTACAGGCTGCCCTCCACTTGTAGTAGGTGGAGTGTGTGTGTGTGTGTGTGTGTGTGTGTGTGTGTGTGTGCGAGCGCGTGCGCGGTGGGCATGTGCGGGAGCGCGGCGCAGGTGGCGGGCGGGCGCGCGCGCAGCACGCCGCACAGCCGCTGCAGCGCGCCGCCCACCCCGTACAGGCTGCCCTCCACTTGTAGTAGGTGGAGTGTGTGTGTGTGTGTGTGTGTGTGTGTGTGTGTACGTGTGCGAGCGCGTGCGCGGTGGGCATGTGCGGGAGCGCGGCGCAGGTGGCGGGCGGGCGCGCGCGCAGCACGCCGCACAGCCGCTGCAGCGCGCCGCCCACCCCGTACAGGCTGGCCTCCACTTGTAGTAGGTGGAGTGTGTGTGTGTGTGTGTGTGTGTGTGTGTGTGTGTGTGTGTGTACGTACGTGTGCGAGCGCGTGCGCGGTGGGCATGTGCGGGAGCGCGGCGCAGGTGGCGGGCGGGCGCGCGCGCAGCACGCCGCACAGCCGCTGCAGCGCGCCGCCCACCCCGTACAGGCTGCCCTCCACTTGTAGTAGGTGGAGTGTGTGTGTGTGTGTGTGTGTGTGTGTGTGTGTGTGTGTGTGTGTGTGCGCGCGCGGTGGGCCTGGGCGGGAGCGCGGCGCAGGTGGCGGGCGGGCGCGCGCGCAGCACGCCGCACAGCCGCTGCAGCGCGCCGCCCACCCCGTACAGGCTGCCCTCCACTTGTAGTAGTGTGTGTGTGTGTGTGTGTGTGTGTGTGTGTGTGTGTGTGTACGTACGTGTGCGAGCGCGTGCGCGGTGGGCATGTGCGGGAGCGCGGCGCAGGTGGCGGGCGGGCGCGCGCGCAGCACGCCGCACAGCCGCTGCAGCGCGCCGCCCACCCCGTACAGGCTGCCCTCCACTTGTAGTAGGTGTGTGTGTGTGTGTGTGTGTGTGTGTGTGTGTGTGTGTGTGTGTACGTACGTGTGCGAGCGCGTGCGCGGTGGGCATGTGCGGGAGCGCGGCGCAGGTGGCGGGCGGGCGCGCGCGCAGCACGCCGCACAGCCGCTGCAGCGCGCCGCCCACCCCGTACAGGCTGCCCTCCACTTGTAGTAGGTGGAGTGTGTGTGTGTGTGTGTGTGTGTGTGTGTGTGTGTGTGTGTGTACGTACGTGTGCGAGCGCGTGCGCGGTGGGCATGTGCGGGAGCGCGGCGCAGGTGGCGGGCGGGCGCGCGCGCAGCACGCCGCACAGCCGCTGCAGCGCGCCGCCCACCCCGTACAGGCTGCCCTCCACTTGTAGTAGGTGGAGTGTGTGTGTGTGTGTGTGTGTGTGTGTGTGTGTGTGTGTACGTACGTGTGCGAGCGCGTGCGCGGTGGGCATGTGCGGGAGCGCGGCGCAGGTGGCGGGCGGGCGCGCGCGCAGCACGCCGCACAGCCGCTGCAGCGCGCCGCCCACCCCGTACAGGCTGGCCTCCACCGCGCGCGCCACCCGCCGCGACTGCAGCGCCGCCACGCGACCGGAGTTCTCCCACCTGCCGGTACGCACACACTTACGTCATTATCTAAGTATCCACACGTTCGTTGCCTAATATGTGGGATGTAGATGACTTTGTACGAAAATCTACCTTGTGTCATATATAAATAAAATTAACATTACTACGATAATGTATCTACGGCAGACTTAAACTAGACAACCGATTACGCAACAGCAAGTGTCCAGCTACTCTACTCTACTCCCGCGCATGCACGTACGCTTTCTTATTGTTTACTTTCTTTCGTCTATCGAGTAATGTATTTCATTTTTCATTAATAGATCATCTTTCATTCTCTTTAATAACATAATACATTCGGCATTTCATTTATTTTCCTAATTTCATACTTTGCAAGCAAACTTATGGTTGCTAAATAACCAAGTATTAGTAATGACCCCACGCTACGTATCGTTAAAAAAAAAGAAGAAAAATTTCTCAAAATAGTGCAGCAGTTCTTCAATTTAGTTTCCTTATCACCAAACCAGGACCGGACCAGATGGCGCTATATAAATAATCCAGATTATTTATTAATTATATAGATATTAGTTACTAACCTTAACAATTGGATAATATTCAAACAATAATGATGCAAGTAAGTCTTTTGGTCTTCGGGTACATTATCTTCTATGAAAATTCTTTTTATTTCAGTGTCGGATATCATCGCATGCCTCAGGCCGTACTCCACGCCAGTTTTTATAAGGTTTTGATATCTCTCCGTGTCCATATTAATATCGGGCGAATCGTTTGGTATATGCATATTGATAGTACCAGATATGATGCGGACCAGTAACGCGAGGGTTGTGTCATTCCGGGAATACTGCAGGAAGTAGCTGATGGTGTTGACGAATTCCGATGGCAGATTGTTGCCTAAATGTGAAAAGAAACGTATGTAGTATAGCGTGTCATGTGCAATTCCCAGCTGCAAGCTAACTTCTGGCGCAACGCGAGCGCCTCGATCATATTTATAACCTCGGTGCGAGCGAGAGCGCACTTGTATTGCCGTCTCACTCACTATACTCTATCAACTGATTATATAGTACACTAACTTTTATATTTCATGCATATAATCTGTAAATTGCAAAAAAAGAGTCCACCGTTTGATTAAATAATAAAATAATTCAGATAGTTTAGCATACCGCCTTACTTAAAATGGTCGCAGGCTCGTACGATATAACCGATCGTATTCATGAGTATGATTGTTTGTATCAGTCTGTGTGTTTTCTATATACTAAGTATATATTTCCAAAAATATATATTTAAGTATTTTTTAGTATTATGTAATTGGATACAAGTGCTAAACCCGTAAGCTGAAGATTGGGGTAGAAAAATTAAGTAAATAAGTGGTAGAATATTAAGCTTATTTCTCTCTCTCGCATGTTTCTGTTCAATAATATTATAATAATAACTCTGTATTTGGAAGACTGAATATATATTAATGTGAGCAAGCTAAAAGTGAACTACTAGGGCAATAATTAGAGACCAAAATCTCATAAGACGGCGACCCAATGTAATACAACTTGAATTGCATACTTACATACTAAAATGAGTATCCTGGCAAGAGAGTATTGTTCCAACTGATTCCCGGTAAGTAACTTTTCTCTGATCAGATCTATTTCCTCCGCTACACTGTTGAGCAGAGGGATACTCTTATCAGGAAATAAACTGTCATACTCCAATTTCTGTAATAAATATTCTGTAAAGAAAATAGATACACCATTAAAATTTAGGCATAACAAATGTATTAATATTTTCTTCAAACTTACAACTAAAATAAATTAGTTGCCGGATGGCAAAAATAAATGCGAAAGTCAATAATTTCATTTGACAGCCTCGGTGGTCTAGTATTTAACATACTGCTTTACTTCTGATAGTCGCAGGTTTGATTTCGAGTTTGATTATTTGTACCGGTCTGGGTGTTTTCTATGTATGTATTTATATGCTCTGGACTAGCTTGGGACTAGGAGTAGACGCAGTGTGAATTGTCCAGGGTTGTTAATATTATTATTAACTATTTTAGCAGCAATACTAGTAGATGCAAGCGGTGCCACCAGCTACGCCGTCTACAGCCTCCCACGTCACGTGACGTACCTAGCAGCTGGCGACAGTTGCGGTCGGCGTGCGCGTGCCGCAGCAGCAGCAGCAGGCAGCGCGCGTGGGAGCGCGTGAGCAGCGCGACCAGCTGTCGCGTGCGCGTGCCCAGCAGCAGCACGGCCTGGGAGCCCACGTCACGTGACGTGACGTACCTAGCAGCTGGCGACAGTTGCGGTCGGCGTGCGCGTGCCGCAGCAGCAGCAGCAGGCAGCGCGCGTGGGAGCGCGTGAGCAGCGCGACCAGCTGCGCGGGCCCCACGGCCTCCCACGTCACGTGACGTACCTAGCAGCTGGCGACAGTTGCGGTCGGCGTGCGCGTGCCGCAGCAGCAGCAGCAGGCAGCGCGCGTGGGAGCGCGTGAGCAGCGCGACCAGCTGCGCGGGCCCCACGGCCTCCCACGTCACGTGACGTACCTAGCAGCTGGCGACAGTTGCGGTCGGCGTGCGCGTGCCGCAGCAGCAGCAGCAGGCAGCGCGCGTGGGAGCGCGTGAGCAGCGCGACCAGCTGCGCGGGCCCCACGGCCTCCCACGTCACGTGACGTACCTAGCAGCTGGCGACAGTTGCGGTCGGCGTGCGCGTGCCGCAGCAGCAGCAGCAGGCAGCGCGCGTGGGAGCGCGTGAGCAGCGCGACCAGCTGCGCGGGCCCCACGGCCTCCCACGTCACGTGACGTACCTAGCAGCTGGCGACAGTTGCGGTCGGCGTGCGCGTGCCGCAGCAGCAGCAGCAGGCAGCGCGCGTGGGAGCGCGTGAGCAGCGCGACCAGCTGTCGCGTACAGCTGGCGACAGTTGCGGTCGGCGTGCGCGTGCCGCAGCAGCAGCAGCAGGCAGCGCGCGTGGGAGCGCAGCGCGACCAGACACGCCCGCGCCGCAGATCGCGCGCGCGCACCCGCTCCACCACATCGTCCGTCACTACCCAAACGTTGTTGCAGTTTTAGACAAATTAAGTTACTTTCTGCCACATTTCAGTTTCAAATATATTACGCACTACACAAATGAGTTCTTATTTCAAAATATATACTTAAAAATAACCTGGATGTTTAGTACAGTATTAGAATTTCATTATGAACAACTTTAGACCATAATCATAGAATATAGTAATATAATAGTTACTTACATGTTTCTTCGATGTCTTGTGTCAGCGCTTTTAGCACGACATCAGACTTCGATGCAAGATTCAGCAAATAAGGTATTACGTCGCGCTTTTTCTCCGGTCTACTGTCTTCCTTGATAGCATCCTGTAAAACATTGAATGGTCAAAATTTGCTTAAGTCACTATACTTTATGCAGACGATTCCAAATCTACACTCAGGTAGATATTTCTCAAGCCATTTCCACAATTAATGATTGTATATCTGTGATGAGTGGGCAGTATATTATTTTGGAATGACCTTCCAAACAAATACAAGAAATCTGTAAGAAATCTTGGCGTTGATGATCTAAATAATGTTAAGTCAGATCGGAAACCTATATACACGACTAGCACCATATTTAGATCTCATAAATAAACACTTCAAAATTTATGTATACGTTTCATATTTGGTCTGCGCAAAATTATGCATTTGCCATTCCTTACTCACTAAGGTATACTGAGTACAGCATTCTCTTTAACCCCCACACTCCTGATTATCTAAAAGACAGTTTCACATTTCTCAGAGCTATCCGTCGCGTAATGTTAACAACCTCCTTCTCAGATATCCTTCTCATTCCACTTCCTTCTATTCTAAATCCTTTTCTGTCCAGGCTGTCAGGTTATGGAACGCACTTTTTTGCATTCGGAGCATTCAGAAAAAAAAGTCTCTGTCAAATCCCACTTTCTTTCCCTTTAAGTTCATATTGTACCCTTCATATTTTCTGAAGATATGTGCATTATTAAGTATATGTATGTTTACTAATATTTTATTATATATATTAATAGATATATTTATGTACAAATTTATATTTATGTTCATTACGTTTATTTTCTTATCTTAATGTTGGTGTTTTGGATTTTGTATCAGATTTATATCATTTTGTGTGTTTTCTTTGTCCAATAAAGAGTTTAAATAAATAAATAAATAAATACTTACGCCGCACGTTGTAATGTGATGAGTGGGCAGCTAATATTTTGGAATGACAAACAAGCTGATGATCTAAATAATGTTAAGTCAGATCGGAAACACGACTATATACATAACTCTATATCATGTATTGTAAAATTATGGCATACTACTATACATTTAAATGAAAAGTGCCACTACTAAAATTAGGTGTTTTGGATAGATTTTCTGTCTCCAGAACCTACTAAAATAGTATTGTACTAAAATACATTATAATTTTAACCACTAATAGTAATAGAGTATGCTAAAATACTCTTTTTTACACAATGTTTACTATACCAATGCCAATGCCAAAAACCATGAAAAATTGTCATGTGTTACAAATAACATAAAAAATACTTTTTTTAAAATGTAAATAAAATAAAAAATAATGTTTTATGTAAGTCCATTCCCTTTATTTAGCTCCTCTGAAATCAGTGAAAAATCTTCTAATATATGTTGGCAAACCTAGTCTCCAGTGCCTGCCTCTGATACATGACACTGGCATAAGTAATGGTAAAAATAACAATAGATTGAGAAGACAAAGGAAAAGCTGTTTAGTGACAGAAATAAGTGAGACAGTAGTAGCCATGTAGACAATTAATAAAAAACAGGTAACAAATTACATACATTGAACAAATCAACAAGTGCTGCCCGTATGTGAGCAAGGGCGGGCGGATGATTGGCAAGATGCGCAAGTACAGAGCGCGCCGCATCCACTCCGAGTGCGAGTGCTCGCGGCGCCACTAGTGCGGGCTCAGCACGTCCCACCCAACCCACTGCCCACGAACACGCCCACGAACCTGAACCATTAAGCTTAGTTTTGTACCTATTCCTTGAAACAAATAATATTTAAATTGCTGTATCTATTCTGATTACGAATGCTTTTAGACAAGCCTCCGCTTTCTATGTATATAGGTCTTTTCTGAAATATAACATCTTCTATAATTTATTTATTTATTTAGGAAGATTAACGGTGTAATTTTAAATTTTACTTGTCATATCAAATTGTCCTATGCCAATTAATAATCTTCGCCAATAGTATTACCAGATTAAATTTTTCATTATCCAATTTTAACATATGGAAGTAATCATGTGACAGTGTTATAATACACAAAAAAAGCATCCTGGCACTCTCCTATAAATATTAAAGTCACTTGAAGTGTTGCTAATGTATATGAACATATTGATATACTAATATGTAAAAACATTATCAAATTACAGATATTAATTTTATTTTACATCAGTTCAAATTAATCACAAGTCTTTTGTTAATGATACAATATATACATGAGATGATCTTTGAGGCATCAGCTGACAATAATCATGTGCAATCAATATCCAATACATACCTAACATCATGTCAATGCATTTTGCTCTTTCTTCTGAATTCAGTAAAGTTAAATTTTGTGTGGTGATGTCCAAAAGAACTCTAACAGGATCTGTACTCTGTAATGTTGTATCTAAAGATAAAATAAACAAAGGCCATATTAACATAATTTGTTAGTAAAAACTTAATCTTTAACTTATATTATTATATATGATAAATGTATATGGTAGGGATAAAATATTAATACAAAAAACTTGCCTTGCATAAACTGCTAAAAAGTCCTATATGAAAAATTATTTTGTAACATGAATTTATATTTCTAAAACAGTTATCAGAAAAAATAAACAATAAATTGACTTTTATTTAAAGCTCTGTTCCAATTTCAAGTATAAGAAATGGCAGTGAATAATAAATCTTACCCTTCATGAATAGTAAAGAAAACTATGCTTTACTATTTCTTACCTTTACCACAGGTATTATAATGTATTTTGTGATATTTGTGACACTGTCTATAACTAACTGACCTGACTTCCTGATCATTTTATTAACCTCCACTGGTGCCCCGCTAGGGTAAACCGTTAGAGCAGGAGGGTGCACCATTCCATTATTATCCATAAGATACTCTCTATAGCAATTAGAATTGACCACCAAGCAGCCTTAAGCTCTTAATATGCATAAAAAATGTTTTTAACAACTGAGGACTTACTTGGTACATTTGACTTTTTTGTGGCTATATCCATAATCAAATTAATACACCAGGGTGCAATAAATGGTGCCCATGACTGGCCAAGATTGCCTAGTTCCGTTCCAATCATATTCACACACTCCAGTGAACTGTTTGTACTAATATCAGCCTAGAACATATAATAGAAAATTAAATTTGAAACTGGAATATTTAGATACCATTTATAAAACCTAAACTTATTTATAAAGTAAATTGTAAGAATTATACTATGTTGCTTTTTTTAATTGATAATATCCCAGGAATTAATATAAACAATTTATTATTAAACTAAGCATACTATCAACTACAGATATGAAACACCTGATATATATATTTAAATCTATTTTGTTTAGTTCCATAAATAGACCATCCAGACCAATACAAAGAATCATAATGTTTAATACATTTTTATATTGTGAATTAATATAATTGACAACTTTAATATAATATAGCCGTTTTCCCCAAAGTTGGGGTACATTTTGTGGTATATAAAATGTCTCACAAATCTGTGTGCCTTTGGGATAGGCCTCTTCCTACAACTGTGATACTAAAATTAAAGGGATCCAATAAACATTTTTACTATATTTAGTTTACAAGTCTGGTAACACTGAAAGAGCCTCTCACTCAGCATACATACTGTAGTATAACTTTTTTTATTGAGTGTTTTGGGATATTGGCGGGTGCCTGAACGACTGATAAGACCTGTAACACTGCAACCTGCATAGATCTATTGTGCTCACCCTTCTTTCTTTATAACTAAGTTATACTGCTAATTTTCACTGGCTTTACTTCAACAGGGGTAGAATAAATATTATTACTATATTTAATTTGTAACCTAAAACCTACTTTAGTAAAGCTGAAAGTGACTTGCATTCAGTATACATACCATAGCATAACCAAGTTATACCACAGTAGTGATTTTCATTGGGTGCAGGGCACTAAACAACTTTATTACAGACACATATGTGGCTGTTTGTTGACAATGGATAAAATAAAAAACACTGAAACCAATTTTTAATTCATTTTCTTTCATTTATACAGCTAGTTACTGACTAAATATATAAATTTATATCAAAATATTGTATGGTGACCATGGCGGTTACCTTTACCTTACCGCATATTCGATTTGGTTGATTGAAGCATTCACTGCATCATGAAATACCATTGCAAAATATTCTAGAACAGCATCCCTAGATGCCGGGAAGTTTTTCAATAATGTTAAACCGATCTTGGTGAGTTCAGGCGCATTTTGGGAAGTTCTTTTGGAAACGCCATAAATAAAATTATTAAGATCTGCGGATAATGACGTTGATTTACTTTGAGGATTCATATTGTTGCAATTCTGCACAAATATAAATATTTAATTATGATTTTTTAATTAATAAAGCGAATGTTATAACGAAAACAAAACGACACGACAAGGAATGTGAGTGACAAATACAAACTACTCTGTAAAGTCGGTGTCAAGAAGACAGATCTGTCAGATTATATGACTTCATACTCTGTGAAAGGGAAGTGATTCCTTCATTGCTCCTCCAATAATTACAAATGTATAAAAGCCAGTGTGTGGAGTAGTATATTCTTTAGTCGTTAGTATCAAAACAATAAATATCGTTTTCCGTTTTTAGTTTAGATAAAAATTTGTGTATTTAAGAATGAAAATGTAATGATGAAGGATGAAAAAGCTGTCACTGCCAATGTCAGTAAGTGTAGGCACTGTTCTTACTACTGTATGTCTATTGTCTATAATTATATAGTAAATAAAATTATTTGATTTTGTTTAATTTATATTCCAATTAAATAAACCGAAACATAAAAAGGGCCTCTGTAAAATAAATATGAATTGTTACTTCAACTCACTAGATGTATACATATATATTGCTTGCTCATTAATTATAAATGATAATATAGTTTCACTTTGATTTATGTATTAAATAAAAGTGAGTATGCTATGCTATTGAAATGAGATAATGTACATTGTTCTGGACGATTATCGTAGATTATTGAACTATATCTCTTACAGACCATGGCTCCTCGACCGAGTTGTGCCCAGATTGAAGCACTTGTACAATTTTTGGAACGTAATCCCGGTATCGCGAGAGGCTGGCTACGTACAAACTCTGCTAAAGCGGAGACCAAGAGAAAATGGGCAATACTAGCTCCAACATTAAATAGTTTAGGTGGAACCATTAAGAATGGGGTTGGTTGGGCCAAAGTATGTATATTATTCTATTATAGAAAGCAGAAAAACTATCATCTATTTTATTAATAGATTTAATAGTGAGATTGTTTTAGTACTGGGCAGAAAAGAAATGTGGCTTAAAGAAACAATGCACTGAGAGACGCTCAGAGGGAGGAACATTTGAAAGTTTAAATTTGCTCACAGACCTAGATAGGAGAATGTTCAATATCATGGGTGGCCAACAATACCTTGCTGGTGACTTAGAAGTTTCTGTTGACCCATTTCCAAGTAGTGTAAGTAATTTTATATTTTTTTATGGTTAATTAGCTGTCCCGGAAAACATTGTTATGCCATATAAATAAATATTGCTATCAATAAATAGGGGTTGGGGCTAAAAGATGAAATTTTTTTAAGTTGAAAATTTTTTTTATGATTAATTAAAAAAAATTACAAAAACATAAAAAAGCTGTCCCTCAGAAAACATTGTTATGCCATATAAATAAATATTGCTATCAATAAATAGGGGTTGGGGCTAAAAGATGAAATTTTTTTAAGTTGTATGTATTTGTTAATGATAAATAATAATATATTAACAAAAAAAAAATTACAAAAACATAAAAAAGTATTTAGGGTTGGGTCACCGTCATAAATAAAAATAAAAAATACGGTTTTAGTTTGTTAAGAAACACTACAACATGAGATTTTTATATAAATAGATAGATAATAAAATGGTGCACCTGCCTCTTTGAAAACATAGTTTTGAGAAAAACGCGTTTAAAGTTTTAAGAGACAATAAAAGAGGGTATTTTTTTTTTTTTACATTGAATCTATGCATGCTGCAATGGTATCCATTGGCAGTGTGGCTCCAGTGGAGCAAAGATAGGAAGAGCAAAGTATCAGTCAGTTAGCCCATTGTGGTGAATTCAATAGGCATGGATCACAATACTTTCAAAGACTCTGTGGAGGTTGACTGATATATTACATTGTTAATAATAGTACTATTTCCAAAAAAATCACAAAAATATATTTCCTGTAACTTATCAATATGATTAGCCTAAATTCTAAATCTGCCGTATTATTTTCAGAATGTTAGTGTCACTATGCCTGATGAAGGAGACATTGGAAATTGTCCTCTCCCTGTAGGAAGCTTAGCTCCACCTTCAGATTTAGATATTAGTAAGTAGTTATTTAATATTCTTAGAATAATCTTGGAAACTAAAAACCTTGAACAGCAACAATTACAAGATAATATTCAATTGTTGATACAACATTTTATTTCAAGCTGACTTGCTTAAAAAGTGGGTTTTAAATGATGAATATAGGATTGTTCACATGCCTGAACACATTGCACCTGCTAACACTAAATGTCAGTGGGGCTCTAGTGAAGGATTCATATTAATAGTATGAGCTATGAGATATTAAGGAAATAACTATAATGGTTACCAATGTCAGATTGTGTGGAGTTACAACTTATCTGCATATGTCTATTACCTCTGTCTACCTATTTCAGCCGCCAAATTTGCTTTTACTTTGCTTTACTGCGTATGGTGTGTTTCGGTAGAAAGTTGAGATAAGGCAGTTAGCAATACATAATTGATACCATGGGCAGCACATGATAGTCTGTAATGCTGTTTATGTATATAGGCGACGGTTACCACTTACCATAAAGTAGATAGTGATTTGCAATTTCAGGTACATAAAAAAAAAATTATAAACCATTTCTCTTCAACAACTTTGAAAAGAACACATATTTATATAAAGTATTTCTGTGGAAAAAATATTGTATTACATATGGCATATTTATCAACTCTTCATTCTATTTTTCTTTGAGAATCTAAGATATATACCTACATATAATTACCGTATATACCTTTCTCAAATTATAGACAAATTAAGGAATACCATATGTAAATTGTCCTATGGTCTTTCCTCAAGTATGATTTTCTCTCGACATAATTCAACAGCGTGAATACACTAGTTGGAAATGACGAAACAACGCACTTTATTATTATTTTTATTCGTTAATAGTAAATATTTATGAATCTTTACAAAAAATATGTTTTTTGTCGTGAAACACACAAACACGCCTTGTACATGTACCGTAAATATAAAAACATAAATTTATATTTTCTATAATATAACTATGTATCTACATGTATAATCATAATGTATGTTCAGTGGAAAGGCCAAAGTGGAATACCAAGATTAAAAATCTTCTCTGTTTATTTTTCTTTTATAGAGTAGTTCTTAGATTTTTGGATATTCTAACATAATTATGTTTACCACGATATTCATAAATTTATTCTGCTTGTTCAATCTACAAATGACGGCGATAAAAACTGTTATGACTAGCATAATATTCCAACAATTACAGGAACATCTTTAAAATATTCATTTAAATGTATGATAATGGAATGGTGCATCCGGTATCTGCGTTAACGGTTTACGATGACGGGGCGCCAGTGGAGGATAATAAGATGACTTTGACTTGATGAGGTCAAGTCAGCTAGGACACTAGGACCTATCGTGACATATTCACTAGGAATTTATAACGATGGTTTCCAGGAAAAACCGCGTGGAGGTCAACTTGACATGGTACATTGCTAGCAATGGGGTCATTAGTACCGATAACTAACAATCCCCTTCCGCCCACCTTGTTATTTGGCGCTTTGTATTTTTTAGATAAAATTTTAATTTAGACCGTCTGATATCGAATGAGATTAGAAGTTCTAATTAATCCAGTTTTGTATTTAGCACACAACTTAAATTTGTATACTAAACTTTAAGTTGTGTGCTAAATTACGCCGGATTAATTAGCATTGCCTTCGTTACAATATTTGTTATCCTTTATTATGATAAGATACACCTTTAATTTCTCATTATATTACAGTATATTTTTAACCTTTTTAATAGATTAATTAGTCCACTTAATGATTAGGCGTTAATACAATAGAATTTAATTGTGGAACTTTATTGCCATCCCATAAAATTGTTTGAATATGGAATAGGGACTTTTGTACTAAAATAAGTACAACCCAGTTCCATTATACCCTAAAATATAATCTAGAATTTATGTATTCTAGACTACCAAAATGGTTACACACTAGAGAGTATTTAACAATATTTTTATGTTATAAATGTAGTAAATTTGCCTATATTTCCATTTTCTATTAACAGATACAAGGAACAGAGAAAGAAGTCCAATCAGGAATCCGAAATCCACTGAACATCTACTGAAATCCACAAGAAATCCACCCTCACATCCTCAACCAAGCCGCTCACAAATGTGCAGTATCTTTCGTCATATAGATCTTGAAATAGGTAGTAAAGAACCGGCCAATAAACACACATGAGGACATACCCCTCACAAATTTAACTAATAGTACTATTAGTATTACACGTTGTTGCCACTAAACATACATTGTGTATTATATTCCTACATGTATAATACAAATACATGTTAAGATATTATAGTAGAATACGAGTATATATACAGGCTGTGAATTTGTGATATATTTGTCCATGTTATAAAAACATAATTTTTGTTTTTTTTTTATTGTGTAGATGTCTATCGTAGTAGTATAAAAAAATATTTTACACTTCTTCTTCTTCTTTTAGTATAAATGGCCATTTTACACTTAAATATAAATTGTTAACAAATTATTTGCATTCGTTATATACTTTTGTGTATATTGGTATAATAAAATAAACACTTGTTATATGCTATAACATTACATTATTTAAATAAATATATATTGTGTATAAAAACTAATAATGTATTTTTTACTTCATACATTGTATTGTAAGTAAAATACACATTTAAAACCATGTATCGTAAAAAATGACAAGTAATGGCTGCTTATTTTACTTACGGTAAAATAATTTTATATTGTGACCAACCCATTTAGAACTTGTTTTATAATAACTGTCAAAATAACTATAAAATAGAGTTCAATAAGACTAATAAATAATATTTTTTAATAGATATATTAAAGAAATATTATTGAATGTCAAATTAAGAACTGTCTCCTCTTTTGAAGTCAATTACGGCATGGCGTGCAAATCTGATATCGTTATAATATTACCGATATAATATTTTATACCATTTTATTAAGAACGTTCACGGCAATATCGACCTTTTTGCGGGCTGGTAAAATATAAAAGTGGCTAAGAAAAGAACATAAACTATCCCCTGTGATCAATCCCCTATCCCATTTAAATAGGAATCGCAATTACGAAGGCCTAGGCTAGCTTGAAGCTCCAGCGCTGCTCCCAGGCTGAAGTCGAATCCGTCACCTAAAAGTTGCCTTTTAGTCGCTTCCGCGGATTTGTAGACCTGCACTCACTTTTTTGTCTTTTTAGACTTTTGTCTGGCGTAGCCAAATGTAGCCAACACCAGTAGAGTGGTAGTGGAGGAATGGTGATTCTCTTTTTTTATTAAAAAAAAACATGAATGTCCGATCTGCAAGATTAATGATAGATGTCAAATTATATCAGAATAGTTTGTATTAGTTCCCCTAATATTGTATTAGCTTCCCTCCATCTGTGGAATATGTTAGGTACAATATCAAAATATAAAATATTTGTAATAAATCCTGCATATTTATTTAAAGGTAATAAATATAACACTGTCCATGGTTGTGTTTTTTACCGTTAGCTACCGTTACTTAACCAAATGTATGGTTAGCTACCATTAAAATGCGGTTAATAACATAAACATACCTCCCTGCAAAGAGGCGACGTTGCCGCTTCGATTGAACGAAATGGCAACGTCGTTTGGGTAGCGGGTAGAGTCGCGCGTAACGAGCGAACGCGAGCGCAGTTGTTCTAACGCCCATAAAGTATATATCGTCATCTCGTTCGCAGGTAAATGACACAAAGTGTGCGTTCCTTTAAAGAAGTTAGGTATTCAGTCTCGCGGTTACAATAAACAGTAGAATACATTTATTTGTTGTAGTGTAGAGCTTTTTGGCTCATTGGCGAACTAAACATGCCGCGTAGTAGTGGTAGTGTTTGGGAACAGTTTAAAATTTTATCTGAAAGTGGTGGCAAAAAGCATGTTATTTGTAACTACTGTAACGTGGAATATAAATCGGCCCAGGCAACTAGACTTAAAGAACATGTATTAAAGTGTAATAAATGTCCAATTGACGTGAAAAAAGCGTTTCGTCCTGAAAAAAGTATCAAAGATGCCAATATTACACCAATTCCAGCCTTATCACCTGCTTCAAGACAAGATTATATATGTAGTAGGTACAAAACCAGTTAGCTATTTGCAGTATGCGATATAAAATACGGTTAGTAACGGTTAATTATCCGACTATGACAAAGAAAAAATCTAATTAATCTGTATTTTATTGTGTAGTCAGTAACTTCTGAGATGAAAAATCGATATCCGAAGGTTAAAGATTCCATTTTAGATTTGATAAATTATATTTAATGCGACAAATATATATAATCCAGCTTTAAATATGAGTAATTTCACGGAAACGTAAATAATGTAGGTAACTAAAATATACAAACTAAGTACATATTTACTTAAATAATTTAACATAACAGATACTCAGCATGAATGCCATGAATTTAACGTACGTTAGCTACCTCACTAGACTCCATCTCGATATACAGGCCGACCGCTGGGGACGCACCACTTCGTCCTACCTATAGTTGTAAAAAACTCGTTAGCTACCGTTATTTAACCAAATTGATGATTAGCTACTTATAAACTGCAATTATTAACGGTTAGTTATCCAACTAGTTGAGAAAGAGGGGGAGGGGTTTGTTAATAACGCATTGTAGGTATCATACCTTGTCAGGTCGACCCTCACGACGTCACCCTGGAAACTAGCTTGATTAATTCCTGGTGAAATCGCGATGGGATATAACTGTAATAGGATGAGCAATAAGCTCATCCTCATCCTCATCTCATTACTGTAGGGGAGATGGAGGTAAGATGGGGTAGTGGGTAAGACGGGGTACCCACAAAAATTTACAGTTCAAATTGATCAATCACGCTCTTTCAATCATCGTGCGACGCGCCACCATGAGACTTATCAGTCGCCGTGTGTTTAGTGGTTCACAAGTGCACAGTGTCGAAAAAAATGCAAAATAAGTGTTTTATTGCAAGTTGCTTATCACATTTTCTTCTGGCTTAACACGTGACTGTGGTTTGTTAA